CGGTTCCACCCTCGTCTACTTTTCCTTATTACTCTTTCACGATTTTCTTGTCGCATTTGTTCTTAGCTTTTCTTGTATGTCGATTGCCTTGATTAGCTTGACTGACATTCAGGAAGAGTCCGACATAACGGGCCCTCCCCCTACTCTTGTATTTCCCATGATGCTCTTTGCTCCAGTGGTTTGAATCAGAACAGAAATGGAGAACAAGACCCTGAACACTTCTGCTGCAGCAGAGGAGCTGCTGCCTTTGTCCTACTGTAGCCGTGTGTGTGTGTGTGTGTGTGTGTCTGTGTTTAATAACCTCTGCGATTCACCTGAGTCTCTCTCCAGCCTGGGGTCTTGAGCCCAGACGTCTGTGTGTGTGTGTATGTGTGTGAATAATTCATGGCCATAAGGAAGATCCACAGCTCTTTTTTGTTTCTCGTTATAATTGCACTTTCTCCACATCACAGTCAGATCAGCTGTGTTTCATCAGACTGTGCTTGTCTGTGGTTGAATACAGTAAAACAACAGAGCCATCGTGTAGTGAAGTGCTTTTATTAACAGTTAACAGCTGTAGAGTGTGTAGTGACTGTTGAAGAAACAACTGCACAAATTTGTCTAAAGCCATGCAGAAAGTTTTTTTTTGTTGTTTTTTTGAGGAAAAAAAGGTTTTAGTTTTTCACTTTATTATTTGACTGTCAGACAGACATTTTCTAACAAGAGATTGACTGTAAAGCTCCTATTTTTTATTTTCTTCATCTGAGTTAAATCAGAACTCACAATGTCAAACATTGAATTCATAAATGGACTAATTTGAATTTACTCACAGTTTACTCACAGCAGATTCTCTGTACTGGGAATAAAATCTCAAATTTTCTTTATGTACTTCAGAATGGGGAGGTAAGTGTTTTACAAACTCCTGGAACACAGGGAACATATTTTCAGTGGCTCTAGTCCAGTGTTTCCAAAGTTTTTAAGCCATGGCGCATGTTTTTAATTCAAAACAAACAAGCAAACAACACGGCACACCACAAAACAAAAATCACACCAAAAGTATATGTTATGAAATATAATCATATTTTAGTCTAGATTTACTCACATGTTACTAACTCAGTGTGAAATCGCAGCCTGTTTAGTTGAAGACATCTATGATATACCTGCAGGAATTGAAGAAAGACACAAAGATCTTCAACAGCTGCCATCTAGTGAAAGAGTATTTAATTGTTCTGCTTGGCACTTTGCATTGACGAACAAAGAAAACTTATTTGCAATTATTAATTAATTAATTAATTAATAATTAATAATAGTTTTCAGACCAATTAAGTGAAATTGGATAATTTCCCGCAGCGCATCTAATGATCTTTTCATTTATTTATTAATTCAAATGTCAGTTTTGATTTTAAATTTTACAAAAGAAATGTTTATTTACACATCTTTATTGTGTGGAAAAACCCCACTTAAAAAAACACTTACGCACTTACGCACCCCCTAGTGGCAGCTTGTGGACCCTTGCCAACAACAAGAAGCCTCCAGGTTTGATACCAGCCATTCCCCAAATCCCAGGTTTGTTGGTTAAACCTCTGCCATGCGGACCACCGCTGTGGCGACTCCCGATGAAGGGACAAGTGACTTAACTGAACATATTTTCAACTAAAAAACATTTTAGGCCCAAGTTTGTATTCTTTTCTGCTCAGTGTGAAGTCAACAGGAGCTGCAGCCAGTGCAGTGACAGCTGACAATGTGTTGGTACATCATTTAACCACACTTCAAAAACAGTGGATTGGACCTTTAATCCTTGGTTTCAGTCACACGATACAGTGATATCAGCAGCTGCACAGAGGAAATCTTCTCCTCATTGTCCGTTTGGATGAAGCTAAAGATTCTGTGCATTGATGTCATGCTGATTCACCTGTCTTTGTCCTCTCATTTAAAAAGCGCCTCACTGCACGCCACGGGGAAGCAGCAGGGGAGACGAGACAGCAGGAGAGGATTGTGGGAAAATCGCTGCTGTGCAGCTGATAAAGAGCTGACTTTAATTTTCACTGGTTGACAGAAAACAGCTGCTGCTTAAACACGTCTCCTCCGTCCTCTGTGTTCTTTTCTATTTTTAAATGTCACCTCTGTCTGACACTCGCTCCCTCTCTCTCTATGCTCTCTTTTAATGTCTCTCGTCCTTCCCTCTCCTTTTTTATGGAAACACGCGTCTCCTTCCTCCCATCTTTCTCCGTCAACAATTCTCCTTCACCTATTATTCGGACCTTTTTTCTTGTTCTCTGTGATGATGCAGGCGCTGTCCACACTGCAACTCTTTTCATATAAAAAGCACTCCAGTTCTGCACCTTAAACTGCTGATGTCTACACAGTGGCTGAGGTTTGTTTGACTGATGTCAGGAGAGAGTGACGACACTGCTACCTCGGAGTGTTTGGTTTCACCGTGATGGTTTAACTGCCGTGTTTATGTCTGGACAAGAAACAACTGACGCTTCAACTGTGATAATCTGCTGTCGTTACTCATCAGACTACTGCTCTGGTTTAGTTTAGACATGTTTAACACACCTCTCCAGTATTTCTGGCTCTACAAGCCAATAAGTTTGAAATATCCGTCAATCTATTTTACTGAGAACTCCTTCCACTGTGTTTTCAAAACATTCCCATCCATGGTCTGGAGGAGCATCAGTGGACCTGACCAGGAGGACCTGCAGATGTGAGAAGATTCCACTGGTCAGAGGCTGGTATTGGGATTTGAGGCCATCAGGACTGGTCATTTCTCTGGAACTACAGGACAACATCACGACTGTCTGCACTAACTACAAATGCGGTGGTTCATAAAGAGAGAATGTAGCTTTGACTGTCCTGCCTGTAGTCCAGATCTGTCCGCTATTAAATATATGTGCAAGATCACAAAACTCTGACCAGTCACCAGACCATGTTTTTGTTAATTGTTTTATTATTTTCAACAGACTATGACGACTTAATCTGTTTAATATGAGGTTGGAAATATCACTCCCCAATGACCCCCCCCACACACACTTTTGTTAATAACATCAAGGCCCACCAGATGCTCGCTGCTGCAGCACAGACCCCTGCAGAGGGATGTGTTAAATCTCTGTGCATGTGCCTGTGTTGATGTGTGTGTGTGTTCTGCATTGAATAAGTATTTATGGAACACATGTATGTCATGGGTGTGATGGTGGGAACTACGTTATTAAAATATGCAGCAAAAAGTGAAAATAAACAGAACTAAAACAGATTTCACACAATCTTACTTATGTGCATCACAAATTCAAAAATGGCACCATAACCTATATGGCTCAGGAGTATGCATAGACTGTTTCATGAATCCCTGATGAAGTTGGTCTTCTATAAGTCTTCTGGGTTTGCTGAAGTAGGTCTGGTTTGGTCTGGTCTGGTCAGGCCGGGGTCTATTGTGTTTATATGTGTGCTCAGCTGGGACGGCTGTGGAAGACTGAAGCGCAGCAGGGAGAAGCAGGAAGCTCTCAGAGTATTTATATCTGCGTCCTTCTGCAGCCAGCGCAGCCAAATCCAGCAGGCTTCTACGCTGACTCACCACTAGCCGTCATCACAACAACGCTCTCTGGTGATTGATCATTTCAGCTGTATTGGTTTTTTTTTCAACTAGAGAAAATATGTGTTCCACACAAGGGATGAGGGACAGCTAATGGCCTGTCAGGGAGGTGAACCTAAGATTTATCTGGAAGATTCTGATGATTAATGCTGACAGATTTATGGTGGAGACTTACTGATGCTAAAAACTGAAGAAGATGAAAAAACGTTTCACAAACAGTGAAAAATAATTTTAAAAAAGCTGATGAAAAAGGTTTTTAAAATGCATTTTTCAACATAGAGGAGCTGATGGAGCAGCACCTGCAGCAGGGGGCATCGCACTGGTGCTGTGCACTCTGGGTTTTATCAGAAGTCTCTGGGAGTATGTGGGGGGTTCGTTTGAATTCAGGGTTTAAATACTTCAAATACAGTCTGGAGACACTTAAGATTGACTCAGAGTCAGAAGTGCAACTTTTACTTCAGACCCTTTTTGAATTCTGCTCTAGTCTTTGTTTAAAGAAGACATTATTCAGTTGATATTTGGACGGAAATGGACGACACAGGGGAAGGCTATTTACAAGTAGTGAGTAAGTCGAGCTTTTAACACCAAGACATCTGAAACTCAGCAGTGAAGCTGTTTGAATCTCTTTCTCTTAGGAAATATGTGTTGGGTTTCACTGAATAAAACCTTTGAATCTTTCGAAAAATACACACTATTTATTCATCATCATCATCATCTTCATTTTCTTCTCTCACCAGAAAATGTACTGTTTTCTGGTGTTTTCTGAAAAGTTTAATCAACTTTTCAGATCCTGATGTGAACAAATCTATGTCTCTTCAGTTTTATTCTGCATTCTCCTCCTAGCTTTGTCTCACAGTGTGGTGTCTGCGTCTGTTTCCTCCTCTGATGGATCTGTCCCTGTGGGATTGTCTCAGCACTGCAGTAAAATACAGCCGGTCGCCTAAGAAGGCCGTGCTCTTTAAATGTAACAGACTGGACCCAAAACCAAACCCGAGTCAAACGAAATCAGAGGCAAAACAAAGCTGTTTATGATATCCACCGAGGGGAATAAATAAAAGGGATTTATTTTTTCAGTTCAGGTAAAAAGAAGGACTTGTTGGCCTACATTTAGGAATATGGACATGAAACAGAAGTGTTTTTCAGGTCCAACCATTGACCAGAAATGACCAGTTATTTGAAATATATTCCACATACTCCATACCACATACATACTTCCACATACCACACAAAAATACAGCCCAGTTTTTGATACTAGATGGGCCACTGAAGGCCAATAATCCATCCAGATTTGGATCATTGGCCTGTAGTGGCCCATCTAGTATCCTAGTATAAAAAAGGGGCTAGTGAGTATTTAGAACAGAATATTTCAATAATTGGGCCAGACAAAGTAAGGGCAAAAAGGAAATTTAAGTACTTTTAGATTTAGTTTAAATCAAATGAAATACAAATGTATCTATTAATTTACCCAGACCTCCCAGTTTGCACTGAAATCTTTGAGACAAACTAACAGAAGCTCATGTTCTTTTCCAAATGTATTGTCGTTACACTGTCTTAAATTCATAATATGAGGGAGATTAGAATTTTAATACGCATTCATATAAAAATGTTGACCCATTTATACCCTTCAACTTGCCTTTTGTTGGGTAAATGTTATATTTCTGACCCCACCCCACCAGCTTGGCCCTGAGCTCTGAGGCTCATTAACACAGAATTGTTCTCAGGGGAATCTGGTGGAACCAGCAGCCTGTATTGATCCCAGTCCAGGGGAACTGAAATATAAATGAAGGATTTTCAGACGCAGCTCTCCATTATCTACCAGCGTCTGGAGGAGGCTTTTTCTTTTCATTAGTGTCGTCACAGACAACCTGCTTTTACTGACTCGTTAAAGAAGAGTGTGTTTTTATACAGGGAATTAAACAGGATACTCAGACAGAAAATAGAAGACAAGACTGAGTTAAAATAGAATTTACACACTGATTATTCCACTTTTGTCTTTCAAATGCAGGAGCAACTTAAAGTCCACACTTGAGAAGATTAGAATGATCATAATGATGATGATGACAATCACAGACTCTTCATCTATACTTGACTTTTTTTTCTCTAGGATTATATTTCAGTCCTTAACATTGTGATTATAATGAGGGAGCGATGGGTAATGCTTGCTATTCTCAACATACAGCCCGCAGTAAAAACAAACTCTGCAGTGTATGCTACGTGTGCTTACCTTTCAATTTATGTGTATTTAATGGTCAGATGTGTACATAGATAATGGTGAGAGAAAGAGAAACTCCAGAGGTGTAGACTGAGATAAAACTAGGAACTAGAACAGGCTTAAAGCAAAAGTCTACACAAATCTGGAGAGAGGAGAAAAAGACAGAGAGACTCAGACAAAGATGTAGTGAAGGAAGAGAGAAAGACAGGAGGGGAAAGTCGAGGGACAAGGGGAGAGACGGGACAAGGGGAGAGACAACGAGGGGGGGGGGGGGAGAGGGGGGGGGGGGGAGGGAGGGGGGGGGAGGGCGGGGGGCAAGGGGGGGAGAAACGGGGGGGGGGGGGGTGAGAGAGATAATGGGAAGTAGATACAAGGAAGATATGACGAAAATATATTTTTGATGGGAATGGAGGAGAGACACGGACAGGCAGTTCGAAAAGAGAGTAAAAGAGAGAGGGGGTAAACGGTATTAAAATGGGACAGATCCTAAATAAGAAGAACGACTTTGAAGGGAAAGGTAGAGTGACACTGAAAGAGACTGTAAAAGAGGAGAGAGAAAAATGCTGAAAGCAAAGGTAGAGTGACATAGATAGTAACTGTAGAGAGAGAGAGGGGAGGTTTCCTCTTACACCTCTCTCGCTCACCCTCCCTCTCTCCCAGCAGCACTAACTCCAGTGAAACCAGGAGGAATCAAGAGATCCGGACCGGCCTCCTGACACTTTCAGCGGACCAGAGCCTAAACTAAAACCCACTTTGGCCGGTGTATGTGGAATGTACGGACCGCGGATTATGGACAGTAAAGGGACTAATGATTTTTAAAAGTATTTTTCCCATTAAAGGACGGTTTAAATGCTCCTTCCTCCTCCCGCTGCTGCGCTGCTCTCTGGTATGTGGACGTTAACGCCTGGGTAAGGGAATGTAATTCTCCACTACTGGGATTTGGGACTTCACATTAGCAGTCATTTTATTTCCCTCCTAGTAACAACCTGATGTACGAGTCTTGCTATCTGTAAATAGATAAAACAAGAGAAACTGTTGAATCCGCTGCAGTGTTTTTAACCGGGCTTATAATCTTTCCCTGCTTAATTTCTGCCTGGCTTCGCTGTTGCTAATGTTAGCTTGACATGCTAATAGGCTAGTGCGGCTAAGCTAAGGTTAGCGCTAATGTGGGTAAAGAGGGTGGGTTTTCCTTTTCCCACCTCCATCTCTGATTCTCTTAATTTTATCAGAGCTAATCCAGACCACGGTGGGTAAAATCCTGTGCCCCCACCAAACAACAGTGGTTTGTAAATGGGACCCACAACGTTTGACGCATTTAAATCACGTCTGATCGCGTGTCAATTCGAGCTTTTTAAAGTCAGTAACTCTCACAGTAACTCCCTCTCAGTATCTTATCGTTATCATATTATTCGAGTTTAGCTTAAACTGATGTCTATTTATGTTTGTTTTTTCACGTCACATATGTTCCAACACACATTCTGATTTAACTGAAGTTTCGGGGTGTCAGTTAGGAAACCAACTCTTAATACTCGATATACTCATAGATTAATTGAAGTCCAGAATTGGCACAAAACTCATGATGGAAGATGAGGTAGCGCCTCAACATCAGGAAAACACGTGATATCGCAGGAACTGAAATTTCACATGCATTTTTTTACCCACACTTTAATTAGAGTAAGTTATTGACTCTATGACACCATGGAGTTCTTCCTTTTCTAAAAGCAATATTTTATAAGCATACGTGATGTCATAGACAGCTAATGACTGCGGCTACAGAATTAGTCGAGGACAAATTTTAATAATCAACCTACTGTTTTGTGTCTAACATGGACAGCAGACTGATTTTAATTGGTTTGTGGCCACATTCACATCACAGTTGGCACATTCATTTTTTCTGATTCAATGCTGACAACTGACGTTGTAATACTTGAAAAAGTTATCATCTTATTAAAATGAAAATACTGGCCGTCTAATTTTATTCACCTTATTTTTGTAAATTACAATCCCATTTAAAGGAAAATACATACTAGAGCACAATGGGAGATGATGCATATGAGTGTTGTGTGTGTGTGTGTGTACAAGTATACGGTTGACAGCTGCGTTGGTCGCGAATCTTGGTGTTTTTACATCTAGCTTTGTCAGCCCGCCAGTAGTGTCTCATATGCAACCCATCAACACGACACGTTTTCAATTATGAATGCTTATTGTTAACGCTTAAAAAGTACTTCATATATACTGTATATAACATGCATCCGCATAAAAGCAAATCATTTAATGTACACAACTGTCATAACATAAAACTGTAAACCTATCTGACTGCCTGAATTATTTATGTGGAAATGGCTGGCTGCAAAAAACAAGTGCTGATTACTTGTTGCCCCCTGATTGATGCGTCCTTGTCAATATTTAAATAACAAACAAATATATCTTCAGTCCTGCGATGGACTGTCCAGGTTGTACCCTGTCCTCGCCTGCTGACAGTTGGGGTTGGCTCCAGTACTTCACCCACAACCCAGCAAAGGTATCAGTGCGACATAATGGGTGGATGGATATAACTTCAGAGTAATAGGATTTCTACTCACCAAACTTATATTTACCATTTATTTTCTATGGATGGATGGAATGTCAGTTGCCACTTGAGTAGTTGACACTCATTAACTTCCAAGATACACCAATTGCAATTTTCTGGCCATTTTTCAATTTTGCCAATTATGATTTTGCCGATTCTGATTGCATTCAATTTACAGCATATAGGAAAACGGAATGAAAGTCAAGTCACGGGTTCTTTATTTAGTTCATCAACTTTCAAAATAAACTGCTTGATGACTGAAATTACTTGAATGTGCTAAAAGAAAATTGTTCCTGTGCACCCAACTTTTGGACTTGTGCAATAGGTCTGCACAACAAAATAAAAAGTTTGTGTAGTTTATATAATTTTGTAGTGACTTTAAAAAATAAGAATGATCCATGACCTCTCTTTTTTCAGTGTCTAAAAACACTTACAAAATTATATAGAGTCCAGGTGCTTTTTAATAAGTTCAGTGGATAATGAGAGATAGCAAGAATGTGTTTTTATGGCAAACACATGCAGGGGCAAAGTGCTACTTCTTGAGTATAATTTGGAAAGTAAACAAACGCTGGCCAAGCAAAGGAAACGCTCGCATGACTTGAAAGAGCTTCAGTATTGCTACGTATGAAACCCCCCCCCCCCAAAAAAAGCCAACACAGGTCTGACAGGGTCA